TACAATTGCTTTGTTCAAAAGGTCAGAACCTTCATTTATACTGGAATATTATGATAAATTATATGAACAGTAATAGCTCCTATTTTAGAAAACAGAAATTATTTCCTCAAGTAATTTATTCTGATTTAGGTTTCTTTCCTGGCCTACAAAGGGAGAGAGATGAGATGATGCATTGCTACATTCAGGTAATTTTTCATGACTCTGAAGCTATTCTGATCGTTTTCTAGGATCTATAAAAACAACATTAAAAGACAAAAAAGTTTGTTCAATCTTCATAAATATGGATTGGAACCAACCAGACATTTCTTCATTTCTTTAAAATGTATTTATATATTTTGAAGAAATGTACACATTTTTTCAAATTTTTAGTCAGTTATATAAATATAATATCCTAGAGTATTATGATTAATGTCATAATTATATAACCAATATTAGTATTAATAATTAACTAATATATTTTTATTTTAGATAAATATTTATATCAATCATTTCTACTTCTGTAGAATGAAATTGATAAGGTCTAGAACCTAAGATGCATTCTGGCATCCTCCATAAATCACAGATTCTTTATAAATAAGTTATTGAAGAAAAACTTCAAAACTCCTGATTAAATTAGTGAAGAAACCAAGACTCTATACACTGATAATTTTATTTTTTCAGCAGCCTTGCTCTGTGCCTCTAGTAGATGCTCAATACCTACATACTCAAAATAACTGTGAGCTTAAATTTAACATAAATACATTATTTCTGTACCAACACAGAAAACTCAGCCTCTTAATTTCCTATACAGCCACTTCAAAATGATTTTCAGAGTCTGCCTTGTTCTTGACCAACTTTCCAGACTTGTACCTTCTTTGAACAGTCTCACAAGCTCTTCTCATTCCTACGCCAACAAGAACACTTAGACTTAAAAAGATATAACGTTCCTTGAGCTTACTTTGATGGGGAATAAATGAAATACTGTTTCCAGAGAAAAAGAGGATGGCCCACAGTACTTTAACTTTTCTGAATTTTTATGCTGATCAATGTAGAAGAAGGATAGTTCTCATTCTTATTCAGCCTATATTTCCTCCATCAAGGAGGACACTGAAGGGCCATTCATAGGGGGTCTTTCCACCTACCCTATATACAATATGGGAGGGGGTGTTATGCTTCACAGCTTGAAATTCAGGTGTATTTCCACTCTTAAAATAGTGCAGTTCATAAAAAACAAACAAACAAATAAAAAAACCCCAAAAAACAAAACAAAGACCAACCCCCAAAAAAACAACAAACCCACAGGGTATTTATAATGAAGAACTTCATTGGCAGAATACAGGAAACAATGTCTTTGCATCAGGCAAAACCACTATAGAGCCAACTAGTCACAATTATTTTGGTGACTGTGTCACTGTATTCCCCATCATTTGTGCATTCAGTCTTGCTACTGGAAATAGACTTTTCTTCTGTTTCACTTCTGATTTGGGTTTGCCATTCATTTTCCACAGTGTTACTAAAGCTCATTTTGTTGCATTTGGAGCACAGGTAACTTTACAGTGCACAGCTAAAGATATTTGAATGATAGGTATTATTATAGTTTTTATTTTTTATAAGGTATAACATTAACCTTTTTCAGAAAGAGGAATTAAAACAAATGGAGTAAGAATGCATTCCATCTACTAAGTCCATATAAATTCACAGAGTTGTTTGTTATACAATAAGTACAGAAAATGCCTCAATAGGAAGTCAGTACCAGTGCTCTGATTCCTGGATTACACCAACCCTCATTTCCCACAGCAGGTAGCCCAGAAAATGTTACAGTTTCCATCCATCAAGAATATTCTTTAAGTCCCCAGGTCCTTAGGCACTCATCTGGAGACTGAAAAGGAAAGTGGAGTTTCAGTCCTCCTCCATTCTCTTAATTTTTCTCCTCCCTCCTCACCTCTGTAATGGGAATGAGGCAAGGAAATTGCTTCAAGAAAAGCCAGATCCAACAACTCTCAACTAGTTTGGAAGCATTTTCCACCGACAGAACACAGAATGGTTATTGCTGTGACATTATAGTGCAAAAGAAACTATCTAATAAAAATAATTGTCAACAATCCAGAAAGTTAGACCTCAGAGTTCAGGATTAATGATCAGCCTTCTGGTTATGCTTGGTTTTAGGTTGTTAGTGTCACTGAACTTGTACGCACAGAGCCTTAAAGCCATTTGTAATGGTCAAGGCTTTCAGCACCAATATCGGTTTACGTGACAGGTAAAATGGTTTTGGTCTGAAATATTAGTGCCAGTTCAACTGTTAAATTCTGTATTTTATGTTCTTGAGCATTGTAAATATTAACTCATTTCATGCATGTCACAAAATGGACCTCAGACTGATACTGCTTTTGATCACTTTAATGGAAAATTTTTCTATGATTTAAGTATGAATTTCCCATTACTACCCACTCTGCCAAATTACTGAGCTATCCAGGACAACAACTTTTTTGCACTGATTCAGGCATTTCTATGCATTGCCTTTTTAAACCAGATTTATGCTGCTTTATATCACATTACCTAGAAAAAAAACCAAAATACTGCAATAGGAAATCAATTTTTAACCTTCCCAAGAAATTTGGCAATTTGCTTTCCTAATTATACTTTCTACACCATGTTCTTGTGTTAAATATCAACTCTAACAAGCACTCAGGTATTAAGTTGCCAATTATGAATACAAATATATAACGTACTTATTTGCTTTTTTTTTTTCCTTTTTTAAGCAGGAAGCACCCTAACCTCAGGGATGATTGTCCCAAAGTGATACAGGTATCATACATCATGTAATGTACCTGCCCTGGTTTTCAATGGCTTTAAAATAAGTTTGGCATTTCTAGAAAGCAATTTTTAGGCTGCATGAGAATATCTTTGAAATCAGATATTCACCAGACAAATCATCATTTCCTTCCTGAAGATGCAACTGCTGCTTATCAGAGATGACAAGATGTGTAAGTGCTGCTCATTTTTACATATGAAAATATATTTAAGTAATCACATACATTTATATTCACCTAAAAATACTAGGTTGCTATATCAAAATATTTACACAAATCTAATAAAGCAAGCTATACATCTGTAGTTAGAGTTAGTTGGTTTGTAAGAGGAAGAAAAAGACAAGGAAAAGATACCTAAGAATGGATGTTATCATTAAAAAAAAGCCTTCTACAATACAGCTCAAGTGCAGAAGGTATAATTCTGAACTGAATACGATTCTTTGACAACCTATTTCACAGTAGCAGATTTCAGTGTTTTTATAATCACAGATAATGCACAGAGTTATAATAATGAGGTGTCAATGTGTAGAAGAGGAGGATTGTAGACCATTATTTTCTCAGACACTTTCATGGCATATGCCAAGTGCAGAGAAATGTGAGCAATGTCTATTAAAGAGGCAGCATAAATTACTCAAGCACTTTTGGACACAGAGAACTAAATGCTGGTTCTCAAAAGGCTGGAGCAAGGAAATAATGATACATTTTACAAGCAGGAACATTAAACATAATCTATATGATCATAGAAAAAAGAAGAAAGTGTATTTTGTGTTTCAGTCAAATATCAAAAATCTAATTGTAATCTCTACACTGTATTCCCATTTCCTTCGTTGCACTACAGTAATTCTGTGAAACCAAGGAGACCTCAAATGCCTCAAAGGCTCTGACACTCCACCATTCTTAAACACAGGCAGAGTGGTTCGTTGGACCTTAGCCCTCAGCACACCTCTGCTTTCACAACAGAGGCACAAACACTGCCAACATGAAGGACAATAAGAATGAGATAGACAATTCTACAGCCACATTAATTAGGAAAAACGTGCTCCTTAGATCCCAGAGTGAAGCTCAGTCTGTATGACCTACAAAATAAGAGTCCACTCTCCTTCAAAACATAAAACCAGTGATCTTAATCCAAATGAGCACTAACATCCCCATGTGCTGCTATTAATTAATACAGAGCTTTGTTTCCAGAGGTAATAATTTTTGAGAATAAAGTTTTCTTCCTATAAAACAGTTATTAAGGAACCGATAATCATTACTGTAAGGGCAGCAATGTGAGATCCAGTTTTATAATTATATTCTGCCTTCTGAAATTATATTTCAATTTTAGTTACATAAAGATTACTAATTTTTGGCTTCAGCCTCTGTACTAATTGTGAATATCAACAGCTGCCATAAAAATGACAAATCAGCTATGAGTTAGCAATCCTTATTTATATTTCAGGAAAGAGTTGTGGAGTTCAAGGAGGACATTAAAGTGTCCTTCAGTCATTCTTCTGTAAAACTTGCTTTCTAATTTGAATCATAGATTTCTTCTAAATTTTTGAATCTGTTGAATACAGGAGTAAAATACAACCTTGGAGATGAAAATTATCAAGGCAGTTATTAATCACTTCAGATCTTGACTGTATTAATATGTTTGAATCTATTTAATCAAAACACTTTTCATAGATTTTTTTTTTTTTTCTCATGCTTTCTCTTAAACTGCCCTTCCCATCCTTCATGACTGGAATATTCCCTATGGCTTATTATCAATTCCACAGATCTCTTTTGGCAAATTTGATTTGGGTGTCACAGACTATTTTATGTTTTTATATCAGTCTTTTTCACTGAAAAAAACATGATAGGCAGAAACTATCTTACTGTTTAGTGCTATATTACCACAAACTCACTATCAGTGCATGACAGGTAAATAATCCTAGGAATTAGCATCCTCACTTGTTTGAGATGCAAATCCATCTTCCTGGTAGATTTGTTATGCAGACATGGTCCATTTAGCAAGAGATAGGCAGAATTTTGTTCCTCAGCAAAAAAAGTAGCTGCTTCTCAACTTTAAAAAAAGTTTATTGACATCAGAAACAGGCTTAGAATTATCCTCAAAATTCATCCTAATCTTTCAATGAATTTAATATCCTCCTTAGTTCCAGTTTGATGCTCTTACAGGACAAATTTTCAAAGATGTTTAAAAAAAAAATACTGAGAGAGAAACCATACCTTGGTGCTTGTCACTTGAAATGGAACTTTTGAGCCCTTTGTAACTGGGGATGTCAACTTCTCAGCTGGTTTTGAAGGGATTAGATTCGTAGCAGGAGGCTGATTGTGCAGAACAGCAGACAGGCAAAGCTGCACAGTCTCCTTCAGAGCTTTCAGCTGTGACTCCTGGGGAAAAAAGAAGAAATCATCAGTTCTCTAAGATGTGTTATTATGAATAGAATTGCTTGCTTTCTCTCTCTGCATTAAACCAAACATTTATGAGCAGATGTTGCTTTTTCTTATTGATAGAAGAAATTAAGCAATTCTAGCAGTTTTTATATATGATTAGGATACTGTGCATTACACAGTAAACTACCTAGAAAGTTGTTGCACTTTTTCCTTTCCTCCATGCAGTTTTATCCACATTGATTTTTGCAAATAATTATTAAATATTATTTTAGCCGAAAAGAAATGAAAATACAATCTACCAAATAACATACAGTGTCCAAATTTTTACATATAATAACATAGAGTGTCCAAATTTTTACATGTAACAGATACAGAGAAGTAAATGTTCACAAGTATTGCAAAGATGCAAACTTTGCATGGAATTTTCTTTTTAATATTCAGAATAATTGGTATTTTTCCACAGGTTATAAAGATTGATTTTTAATCCAAGAAAGATGACTTTCCTCACAAATATATTATGCTGTTGCAGTGCAGAGTAAATAAACCATAAGTCTTTTCACCTGTTAAGAATATGATTGTCCAGATCCATTACTGTCCATCAAGCCAAACTAAAACTTTTATGTGGTAAAGTGTTTGTGACTCATACGAGAACACTGCTGTTTCACTCACAGAAATAGAGATAGATGTGTTAATGAAAATAGCAGTCTGTAATTGAAATAAGCTGAGACAGTAAGAACAGAGAGATAACTCCAGCACTGAGGAAATCTCATTTTAAAGCTTTGCTCCATCACAGCAACATACTTAGAGTCAAGTGTTGGATATTGAGGTAACTTCCTTATACCCATTTCAGGGGGAGTTAGGTTGCATTTGGTCTTAACAAAAAAAATATTGCTCTTACTATTTATATTAAGAATGCACCTATAAATACAGGCTACATCAGCACATTTCAACCTTCAAAGATTTTTTTGAAGATACATAAATCAAGGTATACCAAGGCAAAAGTTGATGGAAAGTACATGTATAAATAAGGTTACACACTATATACTACATATGTGAAATGTTATATATACAATATAAAAATATTTCACAGTTATACAAGTCCTACGCAATAGTATTTGGCATAAACCACCACCTTCTTTTAGTTTATTTGCTGAACAAGTGTTTTTCAGAACCCAACAAATCAGATAAACTCCCCCTGAATTGGAAACAGAGAATGTATTACATAACTAGGAAAATTTGAGTGTTTTTAAAAAAAATAAACAAGCAAAACCAGTTAGTAAGGTACATTCCAACGGCAGGATTAAAGACAACCATAAAAAGACTATTAATGCCCAGTACAATAAGGAAGATCAAAGAAATTGGAGTTAAAATTGGATTGGAGTTTCGTTTGTTTACAAACAGACAAAATTGAATGTCTTTCCCTTGTGTGCAGTGAGGAGGAATGCTAGATTATCAAAGAGGACAGCACTTTGTACGAATTACTTATTAAAATGTATGAACCTTGTGTCAGACTGATAAGTCTCTGACCTAATGGCAGTGTAAAAGGAAAAGGATTACTTTATCCATCTGATTCAGGGATCTTTTCATTTCTAATTGACGACAGAAGATCTTAGCATACTTCTTTTCATGCAATATGTCTTTTCCCCTACCTTTTCAAGAAGTGACTGTACAGAGAACATAAATCACCATTTGACACAGTCAAAATAAACTCAGACACCAAACTGGCAGAGGTAGTAGACTGTCTAATTTTGCTTGAGGATATGGACTCAGCCATTATAGCACTATATGACCCTAGTGCTCCCTGCAAATCCCACCAATCTGAAACCACACTCCTTCCAGCTGGAAATCCCTCTGGATAATTTCCCATCCTCTCATCTGCCATCCCTGTCATCAGTGCTTGTTCTGCCTTGGCTATGGCCCACCATTTTGCCATTCCAAAGGTTATTCTGTTTTCATCCTGTAAGTAGCAAAATTCAATTTTGACTTTGCTGATAGGAGATGTATAAATGAGCATCACGAGAGTACAACTTATGGAAACACTATTGAAACCAGGGATGTCGTTTGACAAAGTTTTCTATAACCTTGCATAGATGTGACTGTGGTGAAAATAGGCTGCTTGCTGGTCAAAATACTGTCAACATATGATGTATATCTTCAGATTTCCCAGATCTATTTATACTCTTGTCATATGGTTCGATTCAATGTAGAATAATTTGCGCTGTAGTAATGCAAAATTTGACAGTCTTCCAAGTCTTCCAAGTTTGAGATTCATTCACTCAATTATTCCTTTCAAATACAGCTCATGTTCAAAAATGCGCACTGCTTTACACATTGCTTCCATTCCTTGTGTGCTAAATGTCAAAAAAACTAAGGCCAGGTCTTCATTGAAGACATGAATGGACCACCAGCTGTCTCTATTTTCAGTTCATAGTTCATACAGAAAAGCTCTTGACCAGGGGAAAAAGGTACCTACAACTTAAATGGTCTTATTACTCTGCAGCTAGAACTAGTCAAACACAGGTACTTCTAGTCTCAAAAAACTGTCTCACAGTTCTCACTGACATGAACTTTGTCTTCTTTCTTTCTTTGCACTGCTTTTTTAACTCCTGCTTGCCATTTCCACTGCACTTTTGCAACATCTAAGCAACACTGCCATCCAAAGACTCTCTTGATTTACAAGATGACGACGTGGGGTGTCTGGCAAGCCTACGGAGCCACAACTTGAGCCTTAAATTAAAATTCTATAGTATTTCATAGGAAAGAAACAAAGGGTCAGGAGAAGTCAGTTGGGTGTGCTGCAAATCCCCTTTTAATTTGCAGACAGAATTCCTTAACAGCATTGTCATTAAAAGTTCCTGATGTCAAATGTTCTTTACTTTCTCCTTCAGAACTGTCTGCACTATAATGAATAACTGCATTTAGAAGATATTTATGGCAAGCATTGCTTTCTTACCACTGCCACAGACAGTGGCAATGTAGTGTATTGTATACCACAGACAGCAGTGTATAGGCACTAGCGAGAGACCATGTCTGTGAGTGTTATATGAGCAAACAAAAAACATGTTTAATTTTAAAATTAACATGTGAAACAGTTCAGGATACTAACAAGGAACACGTGATGTATCAGGGGACGCACACACAGGTTTGAATAATGCTACTGTGAGCATTGCTTACACAGATGACATTTTGCAACGCTGGATGCAAATCCTGACTCAGGAGGATGATTTCAGTGATTGCAATATTGAAGATAAAGAAAAATGCTTTTAGTGCAAGGGACATGCATTTTTTTTACATATCTAATTGAAACTGAAAATACTAGAAAATCAAATCAAAAAAGTAGTCTTTGGTAGCATACTGAAATTCTTTCCTTTCTGATAAACTGCTTCCCTATTACCTGATATTTTCCTCTCAGCTACTGTAAATCTAGAAGTTCCCCTGTTGCACAGCTGACAGGAGCTGATAAACTGCTTCCCTATTACCTGATATTTTTCTCTCAGCTACTGTAAATCTAGAAGAAAGTTCCCCTGTTGCACAGCTGACAGGAGTGAACATGTCCTGCTTTGTCCCCTCCCTGGGGTTCCCCACAGCCTCCCTGACACGAGTGGGCACCTCTGCCCACAGAGGACTTAGCTCTGTCACATCAGTCCCACCCTAACAAGAGACTGACCCATTTGTATACTTCATCCTACTTGGAACTATGACTAAACCTCAGATAAAAATCATGTTGGTTATGGGCACATTCTCATTAGTGTACTTTTGCACATAAAGAGTTGTAGCATCTGGCTTTCTCTGAGTTTTTGAGTTGTTTCTTTCTAATTCGATTGCCCTTCTCTTAAACAACTTTGCAGCTGTACTTAACTTCATGTATCATCATTAGTTCCAGTAATTCCAGTAGCATCACTCCCAGGTACGTGCCATTATGTATGTATCTAAATCACTGCAAGACTTTCATTTGTTTTTGCCAAATTACAATGGAACATTCACAGCTGATAAACATGCTTATGTTACGTTACACTTCTTACTTTGTCAAGTGCTGCCTTTTCCAATTCATCTTTTGCAACTGCTAGTTTTTGCTCCAGATCTGTTAGCTGTTGTGCCTGTGGGAATAAAGAAGAAAAAAGCTGATGCAATCTACAATGCATTTTTCCCCCCCCATAATTTTTTACACAGTGCCTGTGTGAGATGAAAAGATATAAATTTTGCAAGTAATACATATTAATCAGGTCAGAATTCCTTGCAAAAAGGCCAAGTCTCAAAGGATTATTTTTTTTCCTGAGAAAAAGTGTATTTTTATGTGGGAACTGGGCTCAAATCTACTCCCTTTATGTGAATGCAAGTTTACTCCAATTTCAATGTCAGTAGCAAAAGTAATTCCAGACAAAATCTAACGCTTTTCACCCAAGAGGTGATTTACTAGATTTTTATTTAAGGTAGATGTCAGCAGAACCAGGCTGTGATCCCAAGCCCATGTACAATTTAACAAACCCAATAGTACAACGACTCATTGAAAGATTTCCTCCTGAGCAGTCTCACAAACAGGACCCCTTAGTACGATCAAACACAGCCTGTGCTGCGTGACTCAGAGGGAGGACAGAGGGAGCAGTACCCACCTTCACATTTCAGCCTCATCTGATCCCAGATCTATTCCATGTTAATAGTGGGATATGAATTCCACCCCCAGAATAATTAAGGGTTACGGTTCAGGTCAGGCGGGTGATGTGGCTGTATAGCTATTATAAATACAGCACGCTTGTTAGCACAGCCAAAACATGTTTTTTAAGGGCTTTTTAGCATTTCTTTCCCAGAAACTTTATACAGCATGTCAATATGGAATACAAAGTATATAGTGATGGCATTTCAAAGGGTTGTTTTGTTGTTTTGTTCTTTTTTTTTTTCCAGAAAAGGCTAGGCTATGGCTTCATGTTAGAAGGATTATTCACACGTGAAGATAAACTTGGTCATGACTAGGTCTTCTTCACTTCAAGACATGATAAATTGTGATTTTATTTGGTTATTACAAAACTTTTAAGGATGTATTGTATTTCATACCAAGGATTGCTTTCGATTGTTTATCAAAGACAAAATTAATCACACATTCTGCTTAATTAGAAAACGTGATTGACTAAGAGATGTTTAAATACACATTAAATGGATTGCATATTCTGAACTCCATTTTTTCCTGCATAGGAATTAAAGAAAAAAAGAAAAAAGATAAAATGTTTACTGTACAACTTTTTATTTTATAACTGATTATATTTTCTAACTAGGACAACTTCTTAATTGGAAACCACTTAACCGGAAATTTGAATAAATTATCCAGCAAACACAATTCTACTGTGCTTATTCTGTAGGCATTGTTTGTATCTCAGAAAAAGAGACTTGTGCCTCTAACTGGTACTGTTTACTGTAGCACAAGGTGTTAAATATAACCAAGAATAACACTTTTTGGCAGCTATTCCATTTAATCAGACATGCAGCAAAAGCCAGACGTTCAGAAATACGTGAATTATATTTCAAGTGCTTACAAGAAGAAGAAAAGTAAGTTAAAAACATCATTTCTGCAACAACTCACAACTTGTACATTTTCTTAATGCTCATTACTGCCACAATGCTTTTATCTCTCATTTGTGACTATTCTGAATGTACATTAAAAAACGAAATAAGACCTTTGCGCTCTTTTATTAGCTGAAACTTCACTTTTCCTTCCCAACACTCATGCTTTTTCTTCACATAAAACTCATCACAATGAAAGCAAAACAGCAGTTTGTAGGGTTTTAGTAAAATACTCAACATCTAACAAGGAAAATAACTTTGCAGAAACAGGCTCAGATGACGTCCATGAAGAGAAGAGCCCCATCCCTCACCCTCGTGGCTGGTCTGCCTTTCTATCTCCCGTAGGGGATTTTCGTCCCATCATATCAGGCCAGGGCACCTCAGGGTTTAGCACCAGCTGTTATGTCCAATGGATAACCATGGTCACAACAACCTGCTGCTCTTTCTTTTCTATGTCAATCTTCTTTAAACAATTGTATTACTTATTTTAGCAAGAAGAGAACAAACACTGAGGGAGTAAGCATTTTAAAATTCATGGGAGGCACACCAGAATGCTCTCCACCTCTGTCAGTACTGTGTTAGAAACACTTACTTCCTCTTTTCTTAAGAGATAATTAGTTCACATCTTGCCTAAAGCTTCAGCTTTTAGGTTTGGGGGCTTCTTTCTAAGATTTGATCATTCCAGTCAAGAGCATAATTTAGCCAGGAAAATCCAAACCAAAGAAAACAGAACCAATATTTCGGGCAGTGTCACTTAACTTAAAAGTGTTTGTCAAGAAATAGCTTCTCAAAAATTTCCATTTCAAAAACACTACCCCATATTCAGATGATGAATAAAGTAAAACCTAAAACATCCAACATGTACCATATTCATTAATACCATCATATTCATTATTGCAAAAAGCCTCCAAATCAGTCTACAGCAAGTAATATAGAAATTTCAAAAACCCTTCCAAAATGCAGATTAGATTTACTGTATTTATTTTGAGAACTTCATGCTGCAGCTCACCACATAGAAGGCTCTGAATTTGCTGTCAGCAATATCCCAGAAAACAGAATCAAGCAAGGGGAGACTAAGTGATGCAGAGCTATCCTCTCAATTTTTATTTCTGTCCGATTTGGAACAAATGCCAAGGTATTCAAAACTGCCTCTGCTAGGAAGCACAGCCAAATTCGGACATAAATGTCAATGTGCTCCAGATGCTGATTGCCTGGAGCTGGGTGATCTCCCTACAGCATGGTTCATCAAGGAGCCCCAGGGCCAGGAGAGCGGCTGGTTCTGGATTTCAACGTGTGCCAGGAGCCAAGGACCTGGTGCCCAAGGCACCATGTTGGCTGCACCTCCAGCCTCCCTGGTTCCAGGGAAAGGCAGCATGGCTGGCACCTGCTCTTCAGAATTTGTCATGTTTGTATCTGACCATTTCCTCCCTTGCTGCACAGAGGCTGACAGCACATAGTGTCCTGATATCCTCAGAATGAAATGTTTTCAGTTCTGGTATTTCAGAAAAATATATTTTTCTAGTCATTTTCTACAACACCTACCACTACAGAAATTAAATATTGAAGAAAAATGATTGTGTCAGAACAGTTGCTCTCAAAATGTACTTCTGGCACCAGCATTATTCATACAACACCTTGCCCCCTTTTGACAAATAGCCCATGTGGACCAAGGTCCATAGTTTTCACAGAAAACATTCCCTCTTTATCCTGATACATGTTTACAGAAGATGAGGCTTTAACTCATCTATCAGCTTCTTCTGTGTCCTGCCCTCACTGCTATTTTTTTCTCTGATTTTTGGGCAGTTTGCATTTTTTCAATACTTTACATGACAAAGTTTTTAAATTTTTCAACTCTACTGGACACCCTCAGAATCATTATTATAATTAAACCATTTGGAAACTGTCAGTCAAAGTCCCAATCAATTTCAGTTTGATATCAATAATAAAACTCTCCTCATTTTAGTGAGAGCTGGACCAGACCTGTAGGTTGATTGAATAGCTGTACGCTGCCAGCTAAAAGTCAAGCCACTGCTGCTAGATTTAAGTAACCTTGTCTCACGCTGGCTATTGACTAGCCCTGTCTCACACAGTAGCTTAGACTAGCTATTTGAGACTGTGTTACCTTCTAATCCAAGTCCATATCCTTAAGGCCATATAGAAACTTTTAAAACTGGATTTTTAGCTTCATTTAAAAAGTTACAATTTTTTGTGCTCAAAATTGTTGTAAAAAAACATAGTAAACTAATAGACCTAAATTACTAGTACTGAAGTGATATTCACATTTCACACACCTGTGATGTCCAAAACTGCATGAAGTCATTAAAAAAAAAAAAAAGAATAGGATGATAGAAGGAGATTTGCTTCAATAAAGATATAAATGAATTATGTTACTACATAATCTGATGTCCTTACTGGGAAATATACATGATGACATCCCTTCAACTTCTTGTATATCATCTCTTTATATTAAAAAAATTCCCATGTCTGCAAATAGCTTGTAAGTATTTTTCAGCAGCCAATTCTGACTACATCTTCAGGCTCCTCCTGTGTTGATAACAATGTGCTAACATTAACACATTTACTAATTATTGTAACATCATAGCAACAACATACAAAATGCTAAAATGTGGCATTTGAAATAGAAAATATGCACCACTAAAAAGATAACAAGGTAAACAGTGACGTCTATTTCCTAAGCAAGGCACACATCATCGAGATAAGACTTTCCACATACAGTTTTTGTCAGTGTTGTGAAAAAATACACTATACCACCACTGAGATCATTCAGGGGGAAAAAAAATGCCTACTACAAATGAAACTAAATTTAACAAAAAAACTCCTTATGCTTCATGAAAAGAAGTACTGACTTACCATTCAGTGATAAAAGACCATGTAACAGATGATGAGGAAATGATCTCTATGCTAATTATGTCATGTCAACAAGGTAGCTATCTGAAAAGTAATCATGCCATCTCTTACCACGCAAACATCAACCAAAGATATTTATGCGAAGTCTTAGTATATTTTACAAAAACCAACTAAGCAAATTTCAATTTCCTGTCTCTCCCAGGGACCGCAGCTTCTGCGAAGAAAAACAACTCAATAATATCCTGTCTTAAAACATTTTTCTACATTCAATAAATAGCCAGATCTAATCACAAATAATGGATAACCTGAAAACCAAAATTATACATACAACAGTAGGCAACATCCAAACACATTATCTAAAAGTGTATAAATATATTGACTTGGTAAAGAGAAAAAAAAAATCCCAAAGTGAATAATCAATAAAAGCTTTATATAAACAAATAAAAAGCATCCTAAGGCTTCTCACTTGGAAAGAAAAAACAAAATCTACCAGTTTCTAAGACTGAACTACCACATGCAACAAGAGTTATAGGGATCCTAAACCATGAAGAATAAGTCCAATAATCATTATAATGCAGAACAGAAAAACTTCAAGGAAGATCCCACAGTCTCTCATCTTAGCACTCAAAGAAGACATCAATTCTCACTCATTACATTAACCCATAAAATCCTGCAC